CGACCAAAACAACATCATACTTATCCCCAGCGACATGCCCCGGGCTGGACCGGGAACACCAGCTAGTCTTTCCATAATTAACAAACTGACATTGATGCCACCGTTCTTCAAAACAGCCATTCCATGGTGTTCTAGGAGCATAAACGTTCGAGCAGATGTAGAAACAACCTAAATCTCGCTTAATTCGAAGAGTATGAAAGATTTTCAACTTTTCTGCACACTTTATGCGCATTGTTGAGCAATGATCGAGCTTGGCGTATCATTTCGGAAATCTGGTAACTGGAATTCGTCAAAGCTGCAATAGAAGCACAGCGAAGTGTAAGCACGTATGCGAGCTAAACTGACATATCTCACCCCTAAAATCGGGATTCCCACGTGCTGTGGGCAACAGCTAACCCCTCAGTAACGCTAATAAATGAAAGATAATGAAAGCAGAGGATTCTTATCCCTTCCAAAAACATGAATTTTCGCACATGTTACACAGAAGAATAAGTAAAAACCTGTACGTGTATCAAAAGTATGATCAGCTTGTTGTAGTGAGAGTGTGTCAATCGGTCAATGATGAAATACTTTTATAGAACACTTTTTAGGTGTCAGTTTTCCAGTGGCTAGCTAATGAGGCGCTCTGTCACCGGTAGTAGAAATGGAACGGTAGAGAATCACAACTATCTTCCTGAACTTTTGGTGCCAGAGTAATCTGGAAGGGTAGGAACAAAGACATTCAATAGTTTCTTCGATAACAAACAAAGCATTTAGCGAAAGCCAACGATGGTATGGAGCATGCCAAATGATATGGTACATTTTATATTCTTTTTCCAGATTTCAGTAGTTGATATTGCCTACGCTTAGAAGTATTGCCCTAATATAGTGTAATATAGTGCCAAAACTTCAAAACTCAGAGTTCATGTATGGGTCATATGACTTCTCCGAGCACCTCAGTTTTTTTTTATATCTTTCAAAGATATCCCCAATTTTGTTTTGTTTAGCAGTCCAATTACAGTTGTTCAGAAGTGCGAATACGAAAATGAAGATGCGAAAGTCGTGACTTGTTAGAAACTGTAGCAATTAAAAGTAAAGGTATCACTTCATGCACATTATTCTCTAGAGTTTTGTAATGTTCATCGCCAATGACTGGCTATTTTCTTAATCACTGAATGAATGGATTCGACTGCATCACAGAGCGAGACCAACCACTTATAGTATCATAAAATTACGGTAGTAACAAGCTCCATCTGCATTGCATTCCTAATGTAAATTTAACTATGCAAAAAATTCCTATGTGGTTGGTTTTTGCTCCCTACCAATGCGGACTTCGGTGTGCATAAAGCATGAAGCAAATTCTGCCAGACTCCTGCAAAACCTGAAACAACGCTCTAGTTTTAATTAAATTTTTCACAAGAAAGGGATCGTTCAAGTATTTTGGAAGGTTTTTGTACGAGCGACTTATCCGAGATATAAAGCATTTTACTGATCACATCCATTGTCACAAGAAAGGTAAGTTCGGACTAAAGTGTTACGTAGCAGACCGGCCGAAAATAAGTCTGCATTTCTACTGAAAATGCCAATGCTTTATAATTCTTGTGTTTGGAAAATTTCCTATTTCTGTCTTAATCTAGCCATTTTTTGTTAGAAGTTTTATCAAAAGCAAAAAAATTTAAAGTAAAGAATTCGGTGCTCAGCACCGTGTGCAGATTTTGGAGCGGGTAGTGAGTGTACGCCCCTCTACAATTATCTGTGGGAGTTACTGGTTACCAAGTCAGTGTCTCAATCCTCCCGGTTGCTTTACTGTACCTTTGTTTTTCTGCTGGGTATCACTTTACCGGCGCAGGTTTTTGGCCGACATCGAACTTTGATCACACTGGTCTGACGGCGCCACATGCCACTGAGCCATATCCCCACCACCTCCCCCAAGTTTTAGTTTTGAAATGGATCTGGTTTTTTTCAGACTCCGCTGGATGAAGCAATGTTTGGCTCAAATAAACCATAATATCAATTGAATATTTCTTATAGCTACTCAAGCTTCCAGCATCAAGAAAATAAAATGTTTATCAAACTTAAAATTTACAAATTACCCGCAAATTTTCAAAATTCAAAGTCACGACATCAATATTGATACATGGCATGATGCTCATGAATATAATTCATCTGTACAGGATATAGCGGAGTCATTTGTGGGGCAACGGATGGCGACGGCTGGAACGGTTCTTGGACAGCACATGGGGTTGGCGTACCTGGGTTCGACAAGAGTCGTGGATGCACCTGGAATATAGGAATTTGATACAGAAGTTTGAGTGGGTAGGCTGGACCTTACCTGTAGTAGGGTAGCCAGCATATTTGTCGTGGTTTGACTCAATCCAACAGAAAGTTGATGGGCATATT